CTTATATTAAATAGGGGAATTTGTCGGCCAATATATTGGTTTTCGCAGACCAAACGGATGTCATAACTTTCTTTAGTTTATTTGATCGAGCCTCACCCTCAATTCTTGTGTTCATCCTTCGGGATAAATACATGATTTGAGGTAAAGCGCTCTTTCATTTAAACTATGAAAATTATGGGGTCAATTTGACTTCATCTTTTTCAAAAATAAATTTTTTTTTAAAAAAAAAAACGTCCTTCCGAAGCGGGCAACGGGATTTCAATTCCGATGACCGACAGCTTCTTACGGGCAAACCCCACACCAAAAATAGTGCCGACAGTGTGAAAATGATCATTCTGAGCCCTGAACATAACGTAACACCTAGCAACTAAAAACTCTGCAAGTGGTGTGTAACGTTCATTAAACACCTATTGGATTTTTCGGCAACTAACAGTGACAAGCTCTGTGAGAGTTGCGGAAACGATCATCCTAAGCTAAACCTTAATGCTAACACCAGACAACTTACATAAGAAATAAAAGGATAAGTTGTCCGGAGGCAGTCAACAACAAGATTAAAGAATGACATAGTTGTTGGCTTCATTTTTTTATGTCACAAATACCAGATGCCCCTGTGATGTTTGTGGGATATTACCAGGAGCACTTCATCTCTGGGCTAGGGTTACTCCATTCCTTGTTGTGCTCGATAGTAATGCCACTGACTTGTGACAGTTTCCTCACTCTAGGGGCAAGCCGAATCATTTTGAAGCCTATGTGTTCCGTTCCAGTCATTAAGAGATTCTCATGTTGTGAAATACGCTTAACGGACTCTTAGAGAGAAAAATGGCCCATAAGTGTTTGGCGTAACCACACTAAATCAGACACAACCAAACCTAGTCCCTCCCCATAAGGGTTGAGGGGGCTACCTTCGATGTAGCTACTCCCGAAGGCGGAGTGACCAAGCTGCAATATAGAGCCCACAACATAATTACGTAGTGGGACGGCGTGGTCACACCAGACCTCACAGTAGTTGCACGACTGCCTTCGCCGTAGTCACACTCGAAGGCAACATGACCACACCACAAGAACGTGAGCCTCACATAATTACGTGAGAGAGTTAGTGTGACCATGCCAACCCAGCAGGCAGAGCAACATGACTATGCCCGAGACTGAAGTGACCACGCCAACCCACCTAGACTTCAAAATTTAGCTTGACGGTCCTAGAGAGGAGTGCCATTTAGAGCCAAGTTTTCTGGCCCTCATTGGACTTAGGAATCTCGTTGGAATTATGAAAAGGCTAGGGGGATTAACTCTTTTTGGCATGTCATAAGTGCCATTAAGAACCATTTTTGGCTTAATTAAGAGGCTTGGAGATTTTGCATGGAGAGGCTGGTTTAAGCTTCCTCTCTTCCTCATTTCACCCACATCTCCTCATTTCAGTTTTGGGGCTGAAGCTTAGAGAGCTCAAGAGAGCACAAGGGAGAACTCCATCATCTTCCTCAATGAGCTTAGGGTTTCTTGGATCAGGGAAAAAGAAGGGAGACTCTTCATCTTCCTCAAAGAGAGGCTTTAAAAAAATGGTTTTCTCCCAACTTCTCCTTCTACTTCCATCTTCTCCCTCTTCTTCCATCACTTCATTTTGAGTGTGTGAGGACAGTTTTGTGGTGAATGATTTGGCTAGCAAGGAAGCAAGTGTCTCCTCTCCTACACTAAAGGAGAGCTTCATCCTAGCTTGGGAAAGGATCATCAGAGCACGACAGGGACTTTGCTGGAGCTCAAAACTTCACTGCAATCTTGTCGAAATCTCCTTATAATGGAGAGCTTCTTCGTTCTTTGGAGGAGTGGATTGGACCACACCGGACCTTCGCCGGAATGTTGCCATCTCTCCAACCACTTGGAGAGCTTCATCCTACACGAAGAAACGAGGCATTAAACGCCACTTTGGTGATATTCTTTAAAATCCCTCGTATTTTCTTTCTTAGGCGCATGAAGGATGACCGAGGCTCGTATAATAGCCTCCGACCATTCATTTATATATATATATATATATATATATATATATACAATTTTTTTTTTCTTCACACACACGCACACACATATATGTACTGTAGTTATCTAAAGAAAAAATTAGCTTGGAATACATCATAATACTTAAAATTGGCCATTTGTGCCCACTGTTTGTTTTCTTAGAGAAAAATAACTGAAAGTTTATTTTAGGATAAAAATATGTTCATTTTATGAAAATAGAAATTGAACCCCTTATGAAGGCAAACATGGAAACATTTTAATGAAAATATGCCTATCTATTTAGCATCTTTTATATCTTTGATGATCTCAAAGTACACGGGATCAACTTACATTAAAATTTCATGTCATAATCTCAGGTAGATAACTAAGATTCATGATGTTATATATTTGATTATTTAGATATAAATATGCCACTTAGTACTCTAAAATCAAAACCCAAAATAAAATTAGACATCACATAACCCAGCCTAGTGTTCTCATCCATGTTCTCTTTTTGGCGGACCTACTCTTTCTCTTCCCCTTGGATTGACATAGGCTTATTTTGAGAAGATGATGAAATTAACTTTAGTTACAATGAATGCAACCGCCTACAAAAGTTTTTGTAAGGTGAAGAAACAACTTCCAAACCTTTGTATCACAAGAACGATAAGTTCTCACCGTTTTAGATGATAGCTGGCTGTCTCCGTTTGACATATGTGATTTTTGAAATAAATTTGCCGAATTAAAGGAGATTTGCTGAACAAGAAACTCCTTCAAACAAAGCTATAGTCAGAGAAAAAAATATTATGTTCGGGGTACGAATGCAAGCTGCATATGGACAAAGGCTCCTACTGGAAGGAGCGGAGGAGGAAAAAAAAAAAGAGATCCGGTGAATCGCATCCGTTATCTGAACACAAACGTAATATTATCTCTAGTTAGAGTGAGACGCTTATTCAAAGGTGGTCATAATATGAAGAGTTGCTTCGTAGTTCGCTAAACTCTTGAGTTAACAGAACGAAGGTAAGAGATAGATTTGAGCAAAGAGGGAATTTTTGGTTTATTTTAGTAAATGTTATCTTGTAAGTATCAAATATATAAATAAAAGTATTTCTAGTGGTTTAAATGCAAATGTGCAATTAAAATAATTATTTTCCCACCATCAGCATGAAAAATTCCGACCAACTTTCTTCCCCGCCCGCACAGTTGAACAACAGATCGTTTTCAGGCGGTCGTCATTAGAAGGTCAGCAATCCCAACCACCCTCACCTTCTTCCCACCCATTCAAACCGATGAAAGGGTTGCTTCCGTTCGCCGCATTAAAGGGCAGAAGCGGTGATCTCGCTACGCCGGCAGAGAGCATCGGAGATGAAGTACGTCGTAGAAGTGGAGAGTGGACGAGAAAGCTCCGACGGTTCGCCATCAGTCGGCCCCGCTTACCGGAGCATATTCGCGAAGGACGGATTTCCCCCTCTGATTCCTGGCCTCGAGTCCTGCTGGGATGGTTTCCGGTTAGCTCGTCTCCGATTCCTAGCTCACCCAATTTTCCTTCCACTTCTTTGAATTCCAAGAGATTTCGGAAATCGTTTGGCAGTTGTTCGATTTCTCTTGTTTTGGAAGTATATAGTCATTTTATTCATGTTGGACGTGATGTTTCTTGTTAATCAGCTTGTCGGTGGAGAAAAATCCAGGCAATCGGATGCTAGGGCGTCGCGAGATTGTTGATGGGAAGGTGAGTAATTCAATGCCGGACGTCAGTTGCAATTTCCTTATATCTATGCTTGTTTTGTGAGTTGGGATAATCAGGTATTGCGAATGGTTGCAGGCGGGGAAATATGCTTGGCTAACTTATAAAGAAGTGTACGACATTGTGATGAAAGTTGGAACTTCGCTTCGAAGCTGCGGAGTTGAGAAGGTTAGTGTTTTGTTTTGGGATGGTTTGATTCTGTGTGATGGCGTAAAAACTATGAAGTAGTTTAGAATATCATCTAATTTTACTGTCTGTGGAAGCTTGCTATGTATTGTTGAAAGTAAAGAAGGAAGGAGACAGAGGTGGTGCTTGTTGGTGGCTTGGGGCTAGAATAATGGCAGTTATAGTTCCTTGTGATCCTCGGTTGTATATTTATGACCCATGCTATAATAATGGATTATAAACTATCTTACATATTTTATTGAAGACAACTGAACACAATGTCAGTTACCATTTTTAAGTCCACATAAGCAGTAAGAGAATTCCTTCATGCCATGTTTGCTAGGTCTGTCACTTAAATCAATACCGTGGAAAACATCAAGTGTACCACTCGAGCAGGACTCTTTGGTGAAATTTTGTGGTATAGCTGGATTTAAGAATGCTGAGTGTTGAATTTGATGTGCGTGGAATTCGATCAAATTACCTTTGAAATAAATTTTAAAATCTTTAGGACTTATTCATTGAATTGGGTACGCCCTCATTCTTAAACCGGATGACATGAGAAAAGCTTTAGTTTTATGTGGATGCGGTTGTAATATTTATATTTTGGTTCAAGTAGCAAAATAAACTGTTGAATACTCTCTGAGTGTTTGAAGAGACTCTCTAGGACTAAAAATGACTGGATTAAAGATGATATATATTGAGGGAATTTCACCTCAATCATGTGAGAGTAAGGCAATATAATGGAGATAAAGGAAGGCTACACATGAAAATATAAGATAAAATAAATAGAGAAAATATTTTATTATTGAACAGAAAATAATAGCAAAAGAAAATATTCTAATAATATTTAGAAAACTTACCAAAAAACCCTACAAGGAGGAATTCACTAAGTTTCATCTTTCATTACCTACAAGTAATACCTTGCATTATTGTTTACCCAATATATTTTCTAATCTAACTCTATATTTATAAATAATACAATACTTAATGTAAGTTCATTGAAGTAAAAGGAACTTCTAAATTACTAATGATTTAATTAAATAATTGATGCCTATATTGCTTAATTGAGTAGATTGTTTATTATAATGCATCCAAAGCTTCCGTATTAGCATTTGAATTTTAATGAAGGTTGAGGGAGGGGGTAGGACGCCCCAAGCATGATTACTTACTTAAATTTTTGGTCAACTCTCATTAAAAAGAGATTGCATCCTGAAAATTATTTTCATAATGATAAGAATCTTTCTTAATCTCTTCATCCTATATTGAAACTCTTGATGACATAGTTTCTTTCATAAGATAAACAATATAATTTTATATTATTATAAGAAAATAAAAGTAAAGTTTTTTTCAAAATTTAATGATAATCATGATGGCAATCAACTTCTTCTAGAATAATGGTGACCATATAATAGTTTCTAAAATAGAAATTTTTTCATAAATTGATAATGATTATAATCTTTTCATATATGTATGATGTGGATAATTTGTATCATTTATTCTATGTTTGTATCATGATGATCAACTCTTTGTATGATGTTGACGACTCCATTTGAATAATATTTCAAAATCTTATCAAATTTTTAAATTCGAGTTTTGCCTATAAATATCCAATTTTTATCATAGTGTCTTGTTCTTCATCATATTCTACCAGACTCCAGGGAAATCTACCCTTATAAGTTAAAATGCTTGTTATGTGTTGATATAACATTACTTGTATGTTAACAAAGTGGAAGAAAAAACACACAAAAACTATGAAATTAAAAACAGGAAAGTGAATAAATCTGAAGCAAATTAATATAACTAGAATAACAACTCGTAAATCAATACAAATGAATTAAGTTATTAATCCTAATTAATTTTCTAAAAAGCGTTGCAACTTTCCAAAGAATTAACACTAGATAGCCTATAAGCCCTAAACTTCTTGTTGGATTCAAGGGAAAGAAAAGGGAAGAAAGAAATAAAAATAAATAATAAAAAAAATAAAAGAATAAAAAAATTTGAAAAAAATTTCAAAAGCTACGAACTCAATTTTTAAGCAAATTTTCAAAGAGATTTGAAACTCAACAAAGAATTAACACAAGATAACTTTTTGTAGGATTGATGGCAATAATAGTTTAAAAATTTACGAAGTGAAAAAATCATGAGAGAAATGTTGGAAGCACAACTAGTTAAATATTTTTTTTAATAAGAAAGAGAATTCATTAATTTTGTTTTTAAATGTTATATATTTTGAGGCTTTCATCTCTGATAGCAAATTATGAATCAACCAAATTATAATTATATTTTGATGATAAGTAAGATTTCCTATGTATGAGATCGAAATTATAAATGGTTTGAAGATGCATTTACTTATGGTCAATTTATTTATGGTGAGATTTGGATTACATGGGATTTTTTATCACTTTTCTCTATGCGGCTAACTCCTAGATGGACAAAATCTTTGGAATGATATTTCTTACATTGCCTCTTTTATCAGTGGTGCTTAAATTATTTGGGAGATTTCAATTGCATTAGATTTTAATGGTAAACGGATGGTGGAAATCCTATTCCCCTCACTAAGTTTGTTGAATTCAATATACTCTCATTTACTCTGGGCTTTTAAACCTCTCTCAATTGGTCACTCTGTCGTCTGGTTTGATAAAAGTTTCGGTTGCTATATTATGATATATTTCGATAGGGTCTGGCCTCTTTCCTGTACCATATACTAATATTTTCTCCATCATTGTTCTGACCACTCCCGAATTGCAATTTTTATTGGTTCTTATGCTTAGAAATTTTGAAGCTAAGCATCGTAACTTCAAAGATTTGTTCTTTTACATTCGGCAGACAAACATTAATGGGGATCTTGTTGCATTCTTTATCAAAAGATTAAGCCTTTAAAAGTATCCCCTTAATGTTCTGTTGTGGTTCTCAATATGCAGATTCCCTTGTTCCAAGAAGTTAATAAAAAACACCTTAATTTCCATATTTTGTTGGACTCCAGTGCAACCTATTTATTCTCTTAGTTTTGACTAGCTTACAAACGATCCACTGGGTCTTGTTTGTTCTGCTAAACTTAAAAATGAAAAGTTGTCTACCTCTTAAACTTAATTTTTTGATTTCTAAAATTTCATGTTGTCGGCCGTTTTATTTTTAATTTTCGTGATTTGAAAAAGTAGTGATTTTGTGATTTTGAAAATAATTTAAATATGAATCTAACCCTTTTTTATTTTTTTTAAATGTAACATTTTAATTTTAAAATAGGTGAGACCAAAGGGGTCTCATATTTTAAATAGTTTAGATGATTGAATACGATACTACAAGTAATACACTTATCCCGAAGAATAAATATATCACTTGTAATAGAGATTCAATCACCTAAACTAAAGAATTTATGACATCCGTTTGGTCTGCGAAATTGTCTTATTTGCCGACAAGTTCCCTTAACTAATATGAAGATTAGATAAGGTTTATTTTATCTGGGTTCCTGGTTCCCTATAGAGGCAAGTCCCTATAGTTAATTATATCTTAAATAACTGGAAGTCATTTAAGAAAACTCTCGATTAAGATCAGGTGGTTTTGTTTTCAAGATTTCAAAGCTTAGGTTTTCACGGTTGGACATAGGAAAATCAAATGGGAATGACTCAAAATAGGAACAATTATTTAAGGAATCCAAAGGGAAGAAAAGTAGAGAATATCACAGATCCTGGAGAAACCCCGGAGATGTCCCAACTATCCTAATGTTTGGCTTTATGTCTTTGAAGTGATATAATTTGATATTTCAATCCTGCAAATTATTTAGGACTTATGTTTGCACAATATCGGACTGTTTGCACAATATCGGACTGTGGCAAATAACCTAAAAAGATAGAAGGATTTACACCGTACCGCACGGTAACCTCGGAATCCTAAAGCGTTCGGACTTATAATTGTACAACAGAGTTGTACAAAAAACCTAAAGAGTGATCTTATGAGTTGTTATTTAAATCAAAAAAGGTGATATGTGATGTGGATGTGTTTTGCTGCTGCAGGTCCACCTTGAAGTTATTCCTCGTCATGTTGTCCACAATATTCGCTCCAAGCTCCTTGCCGTGACGAGTTTAAGTTTTCTAGGGTGTCCAATTACGATGTCAAATCAAACGACCCTATGGTTGTAGTCCTCTAAATGTCCTATATAAAGAAGGCATGCTTAAAGCTATATAATATAAAATGTGCAATACATGACAAACAGTAGGGTGCATGTAGAACAGTAGTAAGCAACAACAGGACAAGTATAATATGTTGTATGGTACAGTGGCAAATAGGAACAAGAATAATATAACATGATATACAGTACAGTAGCAGGTAGGAAAAGAAATTGTATAACATGCTGTATAGGAAGAACAGTAGCAGATGAAAACAAGAATAATATGACATGCTATACAGTACAGTAACAAATAGAAACATAGCAAGTATAACATGTTAGACAGGACAGTGGCAGTAGCAGGTAGAAACAGAACATGTATAACATGTTGTACAGTACAGTAGCAGGTAGGAACAGAAAAATAAAGTACTGTAAAATGTAAAGCAAACCTGTACGCCCGTGAGCTCCGATGTTCCTTAAGTATAGCAAGCCTAAATGCATCTCCAAAAGCAAAGTCCGGAAGAAAACGTCATCCAGGAAATCCGAGGAAAAGCGGAAAACTCGAGAAAAATCAATGAAAAAGACTCAAGTAAAAGAAAATCCTCGAAACCCTTGGGAAAATCCCGAAAGAAAGGGAAAGTAACACGAGTGTCCTGTCCCAAAGCTTAGTTAAAACAAAAGAAAAAAAAATTCGGATGAGGGGGACCGCAAGCACTCGTATGGGACTAGGCTCAGCTGTATATTTATTCTCGAGGGTCCACGAAGGCTACTCGGTCACCCGAATGTATAGAACACGCCACTCGTCTAGAAGGGTGTCTTGAACCTCACTCAGGGGGCTATTTCCCAGCCTAAACAAGTATTCGTCAAGTGGACAATCAATTTTAAAAAAGTATTTTTAAAATTTATGTTTTTGACATGCACATAAATCTCGAAAAAGATTATCAAATTTTGTTTTATAAAGAAGAATGTATTTTATATTTTGAAACAGATTTTAGCGATTTTTATTGTCCACAAGACGATTACGTTGTCGGGCATAGGATCGCCGACCAACTGAGGAGGTTCGAGCCGACTCCTGCTAGACTTATGTCGGTGAAGGATACTATATCCTATTGTTCATCAAATGCCTG